GATCTGAAGCCAGGAGCCAGGAACTTCTTCCAGGTCTCCCACCTGGGTACAGAGTGCCACTGGGACATGAACTGGCACTTATATGGAATATCGGCACTTGCAGACAAAGAATTAGCCAATTGAACCATTGCACCAGCCCCTAAATGGAATCTTTAGCACAGTGCTGTAAATTGTATAATGGCCCAGTAAATGTAGCTATTTACTAGTTTAAATATAACTAGTATGTATATATATGCACACCTATTAACTAGTATATATATACACAACTAGTATATATACACACAATATATATACACTATGTATGCTATAGTATATATACTCTATATACACACATATATACTGTATGTATATATAACTAGTGCATATATATGTGTAAACTATTTGCTATTATTGTTAGCTAAATCAGAAGGCATGGGTATTGGAGACGGAATATCTTGGGATCACCTTGAGCTAATTCTGTATACTAAGAAACACTTATCCCTGCAGTTATTTTGGATTGTTTTAACTTTAGCCAAATACCTATGATAGTCAGTTTTTATGTGAAGCTATTTCAAGTCTTCATGGAAAACATGCATCATATTTTGGTTCCATTTTCCATGAGCTTTTTGAAGAACATCTATATAGAAAGAAAGTCCATGGAGAGACCTTATTCTGGATGTGCCTTTCTAATCTTTAGCTGTTCTTCAAGTTCTTACAGTGTTGCTAGTTTTTTCTTCTCCTTTTTTTTTTAATATTCACCTTTTTTTATTTGAAAAGCAGTTTTACCAAGGGAACAGTAGAGACAGAGGAATTGGACCTTTCTCCGTTGCTTTCTTAGGCTGCAAGCAGTGTTGGACAGGAAGTGGAGCCGCTAGGACAGGAATCTATGTCTATAGCTGATGCTGATGCTAGCAGACTGGGGATTAGTCTACCACCATGCTGGCCCCCAATTTTTCTTTTTAAAAGAGTGTTCGCATTGTAAAACAGCAGGTTGCAGAAGAAATGGGCTGTAGGTAAATTTCTTTAAAAAAATTTTATCTATTTGAAAATTACATACAGAGAGAGGGACAGGCGACAGGCAGCGGGAGAGAGATACAGACAGAGATAGAATGAAAGCTCTTCCATCTGGTGGGTCACTCCCTAAATGGCCACAATATCTGGGGCTTGGGCCAGGTCAAAGCCAGGAGCCAGGAGCTTCTTCCAACGTCTCCCATGTGGGTGCAGGGGCCAAGGACTTGGGCAATCTTCTGCTGTTCCCAGCCGCAATAGCAAGAAGCAACAATTTCAGAAGTGGGGCAGCTAGGCTTCTCACAGATGCCTGTAAGAAATGCCAGCATTATAGACAGCAAACTTATTACACTGTAACGATGGCCCCTCTAAGCATATTTCTTAATTTGTAAGGGGATATAGGTTGATTGGGTTTCAACTTTAATGTAAGCAAATTGTACAGCAAGAGTTGACGAGGGAAACCCTTCTCCCAGATTCTCCAACTTCTAGGGTGATTAAGTTTGGCTCACTTGGCACAGTTGCAGTAATCTGATGGAGCCATAGTGTTAGGGAAACATGCTGGGAATTCCTGCTTCCTTCCCCTCCCCCCAGTGGGTTCTATTTATGAGTACAAGGTGTTTTGTTTGAAATGTTGAAGGCATTCGTGAGGGCAGCAGGAAAGCACAAGCCTAATGTAGCTGAAACATCTCTTGTTTTGTTTTTGGGCCTAAGATGTGGATTCTAGGACTAGAAAGATGTTGCAATTGAAGCCTCCCAATTTTGTAATAGTCAACTTCTTGAAAGTTTTGAGTTTTGCTCCCCCCCCTTTTTTTTGGCAATACAGTTGTGAAACTCATTCACAATTATGGAAAGCTTTGTATGAATGGTTAATATTCTAGAAAAAGAAATTTCCATCCTCTAATCCAGATAATATCTTGCTTGCAGGTTTTAGAACAATACTGTTAACTGTGTTTAGGTTTTGAGTTGCTATTTTGAGGAAATTGTGTAGAAGGATAATAAATGTAATTTTTAAATCCGAAAGATCTTCAGAAAGTTTTTGGAAATATTATTATGAAAAATGATTTATGGCTTTTTTTTTTGCTAGCACAATAAAGCATTTTATTTGAAAGAGAGAGATTGATTTCTTATCCTGCTTCACTTCCCAAATGTCTGCAAGAAGCAAGGCTGTGGTAGGCCAAAATGTGAACCCCAGAAATCAGTTCAAGTTCTCCTCTGTTGGTGCTGGGGCGAAAGGAATTGCACCGTTCTTTTCTGCCCTTTCAGACAAAGTGGAAGCTGGATCAGAAGTGAAGCAGCCAGGACATTAATTGGTACCCAAATGGAATCCTGGCATCATAGGTTGATCCTAGCCTACTATGCTTTGGTGCCAGCTCCTAAATAATAAAAGGATTTTAAATTAAAATTTCTCCTATGCTTTATTTTTGAAATAATTCCTTCAAAGATACTGCTTCCATTTGAATGAGTCATAAAAACTGCTGAGCTTTGGCATGCCCTCCCTCAAAGCTATATTACGTTAATTCTGATGCTTTCATAGAAGGATCTGACATCATCTTTAACAAATTGGCAAGGAGGGTAACGAAATTTGCCAAACATTGATTAGGCTTGTGAAATGATAAACAACAGTATTAATGCTATTATCAATGCCTGTTCCAGTGCAAATAAAAGTAAATACTCAATGAAATCCCTTTAAGAAGAATACTTGGGGTTGGCACTGTAGCTCAGTAGGCTAGTCCTCTGGCTCGTCCTGTTGGCATTCCATATGGGTGCTAGTTCTTGTCCCCCATTTTCTGCTTCTGATCTAACTCCCTCCTTGTGGGTTGGGAAAGCACTGGGGAATGGCTTAAGTCCTGGGGACACTGCACCCACATGTTGGAGACCAAGAAGAAGTTCCTGGCTTCAGATTGGTTCAGCTCTGGCCATTTTGCCCATTTGGGGAGCCAACCAGTGGATAGGAGTTCTCTTTCTCTCTCTTTTTTCTCTCTCTATTTCTACTTGTCTCTGTGAATTTACCTTTCAAATAAAAAAAAACACAAATCTCTTTAAAAAGAGAGTAAATACTCTCAAGTTAGTACTATATATTCTCAGTCAGCAGTGGTAGGATTATTTGATATATCCAGGTTGTGAACTCTTATGATTCTATGTATTCTATTCAGTGCTTAGCTTGTAGGAATTACTCAGTAGATATGAGTGATAAATAGCATACAGTTTTTTAGGCTTGGAAGGTCAAAGAAGGTAGGGAAACAGGTACAGGTGTTAGAGGATTGCTTGGCATGTTGATTGTTAAAGAAAGGCTCTCCTGTAGGCTGGTGCTGTGTGTAGGATAATGCTTGTCGCATTGGACTGTCTGTGTAAAATTCTAAATCAGGCGTTCACTCTGTATTTGAAGTGCTGTGTGAACTAAAGGGACTGGTGGCAGCCTTGTTGAATGATCTAGAACATTGCTTCAGTGCATATAGGTGATATTGACAGTAATTTTCTTCTGGTTTTAAGGATTCAGATAGTTGCAATTCTAAACACACAAGTTCTCAGAATTTTTAGATTTGTACTGATGAAATAATTTTGAATCTGTTGTATTGAAAAGCCCCACTGTACATAGTTTTTACTTGATTGTATTTTTAAATGTTATTTTAGTCTAGGGTTAGCTCTGAATTTGTAAGATAAATTAAAGGGAATATTTGAGATTGGTATCTAGAAGTTATTACAGTGTTAATAATTTTTGAATTGGGAGACCACCAACCTGGGGGAACTCCAGGTTTTTATGTTCTTACTTAGGCAAACCTTTATGCGTCAGAAATCACCAACTAGCCTCTAACTAGAGTCTTACACTCTAACTAATCAATGGTGTTTTTCTTTTTGCCTTCCTTCCATGTTCTGCCTGTGAAAAGATCTTTGCCCCTGATGCTGATTCAGAACTTCTGAACTTTTTCTGGAGAAGTGCCACCCAATCCATAAATTCATGAGTCCATGAAGTGTCACCCAATCCATGTCCTTGTTCGGAGTAACTGTTCGATTTTCTCTCTTTTTCTCTTTTTCTTTTCCCCCAGAGAGTTGTTGGGGTAGAAGGGAGGCAGGTGGGGACTGGGAAGGAGGAGTGCGTTATTCCATCCACTGGTTTATTCCCCAGTAGCAGCAAGGGCTGGAGCTACACTGGTCAGAAGCCAGAAGCCAGGGGCTTCTTCCTAGTCGCCTGTGTGGGTTCGGGGCTCATGGATTTGGATCATCTTCCACTGCTTTCTTAGGTGTGTTAGCAGGAAACTGGATTACAAGCGGAATATGTGGGACTTCAAACTGGTGCTCATGTGGAGTGCCAGTATAGCAGGTTGAGGCTTAATGCTACACCATGGCATCAGCTCTTCAAGTTTTTCTCTTTACAACAGAGACAACAAAAAATCTGTTAAATTAGCTTTTGAATATGATAGTGAAATTTCCTTTTGAGGCTTTTACTAACAGTGTTTTAGGAGTATGATGTCTTTTAAATCATTCTCTTTAGTTTTTAATGTATTTTAATTAAACATAACATGTTGTCTGTATAGTATGCCAGGTTCTTGAAAGTTGCTAAATGGATGTTCATTCACTGAGGTATAGTTCCTCAGTTGGATAAGAATCATAAAAATTCCTGAGGAGCTTGTAACACTAGATATCTGACACATTTATGTGAACATAATCAGTGATTCTGGTATGTTTACGTGTGTACAGGCATATACACAGCACATTGTGTCTCATTTTTTCTCAGCATTAACTTATTGAAGTAGACATACTGACCCAACCAGTTTATTTTTGAGGTTCTTAGTTTATTTTTAAGAATTTATTTAGGGAACGGCCGCGGCCGAGGCGCCCCTCGCCGCCCCCTCCGCCCCCTCCGCCAGCCGAGGCCGCCGGCGCGCGCGGCCGGAGCCGTTCCCCGACGGGCAGCGGGGCGCTCGGCCGGCGCGTCTGGGCTCAGCTCGGCCACGCAGCCGTCCCCAAGTCCTCCCGGATCTTGAGGCGTATGGAACCTCAAGGTCTTTGTGGAAATGGAAACCAAAAAATTGATTGGTAAACCGCTTCAACCAGCAAGACCTGTTCGTCATCTGGCTTCTTCCCCAGTGTAAGACGAATGGAATGCAAACTTTTTCTCAAGGTCTTACTGAACAGCAGCAACATCAGTCTCCAGTTAAAAAAGAGAGAATTAAATACAGCAGAGATTTCCTGTTGAAGCTCTCAAGTGTTTCCATCTGCAGAAAAAAACCAGATTTTCTGCCTGATCATCCCATTGTACTTAAAAAACCAGAAAACAACCAAAGTTTTAACTAGTGCTTTAAGAACAGATGAATTTGAAGATAAAGAATTATTTGTTTTATATTTTGGACACCTGCAAATGAAGTGGATCTAGTAGCAATAAATATAATGGACTGTGACAATTCATTTTATTTTTAATTTTGATGGTTGGCTATTTGGTTTCTCCTAAAATGAGAAAGATATTTTACACTATAAAGAATTTTCTAATCAATTTCAGCTTTGCAGGCAGTTTCCTGCATAAATTGCGAAGTAACACTGGAAAATAGGAATTTGGTTAGTGAACTGGGAAGATTGTAATTTGCATGCTACTTGCAACATTTGTGCTTCATCACTTGTAATAATGGAATGGACATGTAAGCTGTAAAGATTCTCAAATATAAAGCATTTGCTACAATGTAAAAAAAAAAAAAAAAAAAAAAAAAAGAATTTATTTAGAAATAAATCACATTTGGAAACTTTTCACTAATATGACACACCTAACTTTTTCTCATATTTTCTTTAATAGTGGATATTAGGAGAGGTTTTTCTATTTCTCAGTTGATGAAAATAATTTGTTATTTTAATTATTTCTTTGATGCAATATTTTTATTTTTCATAATTTGTTTGATATTTGTATTTGCTCCCTCTCAGATTACTCATGTTTGTAACAATTTAAATTAAAAAATTGTGGTAACTATATATAACACAGAGCGACCTTAACTGGTTTTGAAGTATGCATATATCTCCGTGATAGTAAGTGCAATCATGCTCTTGTGTAGACATTGCCAACATTCATCCACAGAACTTTTTTTCTGGTAAAGCTAAAACATCCTTAAAGGAATGGTGTAGCAGCCAACAAGGTAATCCTGTCCTGTAGTGCCGCTTGTGTTCCAGCTAGTCCACTTCTGACCCAGCTCCTGCTTGCGGCCTGGAACGCAGTGGAGAATGGCCCAAGTCCTGCCCCATGTGGGAGACGTGGAAGAAGCTCCTGGCTTCCAACTTCAGAGTTCTGGTTGTTGCGTCCATTTGGGGAGTGAACCAAAGGGTGGATGGAAGGCCTCTGTCTCTGCTTCTTTCTGTAAAATGTGCATTTCAAATAAAAATAAGTAAATCTTAAAAAGCCCAAATCTATGCCCTTTAAGTAATGACTCCTAAACTCTCCTCTCCCTCTCTGCTGGCAACCTCCACCTTGCTTTCAGCCTCTCTGAGTTTCAGTTTTCGGAGTCCATTCTATTAGTGGAATCATCCAGCATTTGTCTTTCAATGACTGACCTACTCATTTAACATAATTCTTCAAGTTTCTTCTGTGTCCTATCACTTGTCAATACTTCGTTCCTTTGTTAAGGGCTGCATGGTGTTCCTTTGGTTTACCTGTTAATCTGCCAGTAAGCACTTGGTTTTCTTCCACCTTCTTAGTTGTTACACTGCTGTCAGAGGTGTTTAGATATCTCTTTGAGTTCTTGTTTTTCAGATGAGTGTGTTTGCAGAAGTGGAATTTCTAAATTATCTGGTGATTTTATTGTAAATTTTCCTGAGGAAATGTTGCGCTGTATTCCACAGTGGCATCTTTTGCTGTGATGGTCTGTCTCAGCCCTAAGGAATATTGATTGACTGCTACTGTACAAGTTCTTTCTGTTTTTCATTAGTTAATTGGTTGCTTCTCCAGCCCTGTTTTGGCTAGTGAGTTTTCTCTTTTAACAGTACCATAATGCTTATCTCTCTTTATTAGCTGAGCAATTCCATGGGAAGAAATCAAACTTGTTTGAAAGGCAGGGGAGAAGGGGGCGGGGGGGGGGGGGAGGAAGGGGGAGGGGAAAGGAAGGGGGAGGGGAAAGGAAGGGGGAGGGGAAAGGAAGAGGGAGAGGAAAGGAAGGGGGTGGGAGGATGCTTGGCTCCACCTGCTTCACTCCCTAAATGCGCGCAGGCAGGGCTGGTGCAGGCTGAAGCCGGACACCTGCTCCCCGGTGTACGTGGCAGTGACTCAGCTGAGCTGAGACATCCACCTGCTCCCTCCCAGGTTGGTACTAGGAGGGAGCTGAAGTCTGGCGGCAGTCAGGACTCAGCACAGCCGTGGCATGCAGGGGGCATGAGTGGCATCTTCACCGTATACCAGTTTGCCTTTTCTCCAATCCATTTGAGAAACAGTCTGTAAACTATCCGTCCCAAAGCCTGCTGAGATTTTGGTTTGAACTGCATAGTCATCGTACCGACGCTGAGGCTTAGGCCTCACCAGGAAGGTACCTCCATTTGTTTGTTTCCGTTCCCTTCAGTGGATTTTGTGGTTTTCAGTGTACTGATCTTTTCCTCATTTTGTTCAGTTATCCCTAAGTATTTTATGTTTTTTATGTTTTACTTTAGAATCAATTTCCAGTTACTCATTGTTGATATGTGAATGCAAATGTTTTTATATATTCTGCAATGTTACTAATCTCAATGGTTCTAGTTACACTTTTTTTTTTTTCTTTTTCCTGCCAGACATTGTTAGCTACCACTGCTAGTGGAGTGTTGACTAGAAATAGTGAGAGCAACTGTCTGAGTCACAGATCTAACCTTAGGGAGAAAGGTTTGCTTCTTTCACAATTAAGTAGAATGTTAACTGTAGGGTTTTTTTTTTTTTTTTTTTAAGATTTACTTATTTTTACTGGAAAGTCAGATATACAGAGAGCAGGAGAGAAAGAGAGGAAGATCTTCTGTCCTCTGATTTACTTCCCAAGCGGTCACAGTGGCCGGAGCTGAGCCGAGCCAAAGCCAGGAGCGTTTTCTGGGTCTCCCACGCAGGTGCAGGGCTTCAAGGCTTTGGGCCGTCCTCGTTTCCCAGGCCACAAGCAGGGAGCTGGATGGGAAGTGGAGCAGCTGGGATTAGAACCTACTCTTTATTCAAGTTTACTCCTCTTTTGCATATTTAATTTGTTAAGTTTAGTGTATTTTGCATCTCATCCACTGTAGTTTTCGCATCTAGAAGTTTGTTTTAGACCTTTTATGTGTGCTCCATGTATCTACTATTTTGAATGTGTGAAATACACAAAGTTGATGTAAAAAAAGGTTTTGCCTGCTGATTCTAGTGTCTGCATTACTTCTGGGTTAGTTTTAGTCAGTTGATATATTTTCCTGCCTCCTTGCATGGCACATAATCTTAATTGGATGGTAGACACTTAATTGTAACTTTTTTGGGTACTATCTATTTCAATATTATCAGAAATATTTTTGAGCTTTTGTTCTGGGGTTTAGTTTAGTTATTTGGAGACAGTTTGAGGTATGCTTTCTTTTTCCTTTCTTGTTTTTAATTTAATAGGGGCGGTGTAGCGCAGTGCTCATTCTGGGCTAGTTATTTCTTACAACTGAGGCATCTTCCTCAGTACTCTATTCAGCGTCCCAGGAATGAAGAGCATTTTCAGTCTCAAGGGAGTACAGGTACTGTCCTCAACAAGCTTGGTTGTTAGGCACTATTCTAATTCTTGAGATGGTTCTTTCCCCACCTCCAGTGGCCCTCACATGATTGGGCTAACCAGTGCCCTGTGGAGTAGTTGGGGTTTTTCTTTCTGTGTCGTTTCTCTGGTACTTGCTTCTGGAATGTCTGTCCAAGAGGCTGTGGACTCTTAGCTTTTCTGCTTCATCAGCTTAGGTGAGTTCATCATTGTGATTGCTTTCCCGTGCTATACCCAGTCTGTGGATTGGTAAGCCGAGTTGAACATAGGACTTAGGTTTTGTTTTCTCTGTCTGTAATCACTGTTCTTTGTTGTTTGAGGTCCAGTTTCTTGAAAACTGCTGTTTCCTATATTTCATCTGTTCCTTTTGTTGTTTCAACTGAGAGGACAGATATATTATCCTGTTACTGCATCCTGACCTTTTTAAAATTTTTAATCTTTCAAAGTTTTTTTTAACTTCATAAAGATCTTTATTTATTCTATTTGGAAATGCCAATCGTTTATGAAAAGAGAGAGAGAGAATCTTCCCATCCTCTGATTCACTTCTCAAATGGCCCAAAGGCCGTAGCTGTGCTGGTCTAAAGCTAGGAGCCGGGAGCTTCTTCCAGGTCTCCGATATGGGCACAGGGCTCAAAGACATGGACCATATTTTGCTGCTTTTAGAACATTAGCAGGGAGTTGGATTAGAGTGGAGCAGCTGGCACTCAGAAGAGAGGCCAGCTCTGCAAGATGGCAGCTTAAGATACTATGCCACAGTGCTGGCTCCCACAGGTTTTTTGTTTGTTTGTTTGTTCTGTTCCAAAAACAAACAAACAAAAAACCCAAAAAGATAATATTTGGAGCAGCACAATGTGGCTTGTGAGTTTAGTTGAGTAGAAAATATGGCCTGGGCTTAATTGTGTTTTAAATCCTGTGTTTGCCACTTGGTAATTGAATAATTTCTTAAACTTAGTTTCAGATTTCTCATCTGCAGAATGAACATAGGAATATTTGTTACAAGTGTTGTAATGAGCATTAAATAGAATCAGTTACACAAAACAATAATAATATATTCATGTGCTTACTAAATGCTTGTTTTTTCTTATTTAAAGATTTATTTTTATTTATCTGAATGACAGTGGCAGGAAGAGGAAGAGACGGAGATGCTTTAAGTTCTGATTTGCTCCTGCAATTGGCCTCCACAGCTGGGACTTGACCAGGATGAGGCCAGGACTGAAACTGGCACTCTGATACGGTGGTTTAACCTTCTCTGTGGTGCCACTGGTCCCTGTTGTTCTTTATTCTGTTGCATGTGGCTCTAATGATTATGTGTATGCTTATTGTCAGAGTGCTTATAATTATTTTGAAATGAAGGAAGAATCGTGTTGATGTGTTGGCATTTGGAATTTTTAGTTTGGAGGAAAATCAAACCAGAGTATTGTTAGTATAAGATTACATTAAAAAATGCTGGGCGTGAGAAAGCTCTGAATGTCAGTTCAGTGTTGGGATGTTTTTTAAATAGGTCTTTAGCAAGGGGGGGGGGTGCAATCAATATTCAGCTGGTTTGTAGAATTGTTGGTAAAGGATGGCTCCTACAGGAGGTAATTTGTTTTGCAGGTAGGGTACCACTGGGCACTTGGGATTTTATTGTGGGGTTGAGAAGCAGCTGTGGGGGACACAGACACGAGAGGGCCAGTGTAAACTCAGGTTTTCTATCGTTGATCCTTGAAATCTTTACTCTCCACTCCCATTTTCTTATCCTTCAGGAAGAGCCTATTTTCTTAATCATAATTTTGAACTCCTCTGGCTCTTGATTTCAGAAGGCAGTGTCTTTGTGGAATTTAGAAGGGCAAGAAATTATTTTCTGGTGCTGGAAAGTTGTTTCAGTGTTTGCAGTCCTACCTTTGTAGAGCTTTGGTTCCTGCTGTGTGTGGGCTCTGTAGTTCGGCAGAGAGAGGAAATAGTTACATGTGATAATGACAAGTTGCAAAGTAGACCTTGCTGGAAGGGAGATTTGAATAGGG